GCCATCCAGACCAAGAGGAAGACAGAGCACTAGACTGTGCGCCATCCAGACCAGGAAGAAGACAGAGCACTAGACTGTGTGCCATCCAGACCAAGAGGAAGACAGAGTAATAGACCAAGAGGAAGACAGAACGCTAGACTGTGCGCCATCCAGACCAGGAAGAAGACAGAGCGCTAGACAGTGCGCCGTCCCGACCAGGAGGAGGATGGTCTGCAGCCACCACACGCCCAGCTCCATGTGAAGAAGCATCTCTGCCCTGGAGTTGTGACCCAGAGAGTGACACTGTTCCTGTGAGCACTGTGAGGCCCTCGTCATGTGACCAAAGCAGCAGCTACAGACGAGGCTGGCTGAATGCAAGATTTGGGGAGGTTGTTCATCGCCACCTCAGTGTCCCCTGTCCAAATGCCACAGGGCACACACCTACCAGCACATGGACAGTGGCTCCCGCGGCTCCCTGCTGCACACAGATCTCACTCCCCACCCAAGCATCCTAATGGGCCCTCCCCTGCAACCTCTCCTGGCACCTCCACAAAAATCAACAGGAAAGGACAGGAACTGGAATTTATTTTTCTTTTGGGGACCGGGGATTGAACCAGGGGTACTCAACCACTGAATGATATACCGAGCCCTTTTATATATTTTATTTAGGACAGAGTCTTGCTAAGTTGCTGAGGCTGGCTTTGAACTCACGATCCTCCTCCTCCCCAGCCTGTCGAGACACTGGGATCATAGGTGTGCACCACCATGCCCAGCTGGAATTTAAATTACTGCCTTGAATACGGCAAATCCAGAAACATGGGCCAGGAGCAGTGACACACACCTGTAATCCCAGTGGCTCAGGAGGCTGAGGCAGGAGGGTCGCAAGTCCAAAGCCAGCCTCAGCAATGGCAAGGAGCTAAGCAACTCAGTGAGACCCTGTCTCTAAATAAAATACAATATAGTGCTGGGGATTTGGCTCAGAGACTGAGTTCAATCCCTTGTCGCCACCCCCACCCCCCATAAAAAGAAACCCAGAAGCACAATCCTGGGGGTGGGGGTAGGCTCTGACCTGGCTATAGAATCCACGTTGACTCAGTGCCTGAGGGTGGCCAGGGCACTGCTCCTGTCCACCTGCCGAGGTCACCAGGCTGGAGACTCTCCATGAACAGGCTTCCCCAAAACCCTGGGTTCTACACATGCAAAGCGGGCCACCACACTTTCAGATGCGACAGAGCGCATCAGCAACCACTGGACCAAGCCACCCCCAAGACCAGACTTCCACCTCCATCTCCTGCATCCTGCTGGCTTCCTTATCCTTGCACATATACTCCTGGAGGGTTAACAAAACCCTCATTTGTAGCGTTTCAGTCTCTCACACAAACCTTCCACAAGTCCTGGGACTTTGGGAACCTTGCATCCCCTGGCCCCTCCTTATGGGGATCCTCTCCGATGAACTGAAGCTGTTTCCACCAAAACAGGCAGAGTTGGCAGCAGCCCTGTGCCGTCAAATCCTTCCAGACTTAAGCATTTGTCAACGTTCATTAAATTTATACATTTCAACTAGACCTGGGTGGTAAGAGGCACCGGCTCAGGACCTGGGGCTGAGGCCTGTTCTGAGAGCCGCTTTCTATTCCTGTCCCTGGGAGCTGGTGTCAGTACCCTACTGGGACTCACATCTGCAGCAGGAGCAGACCACAATGGCCAGGAGGCTGGACACGGAGAGGATGCTGCAGGGCAGCACAGGCGCAGCAGATGCCCGAATGTACGGAAGACAGTCACCATCCCCTCAGATGCTCGGAGTCCGCATGACCTGAGCCACTGAGCAGGCCTTGGGCAGCTGAGCAGGCCCCGGCAGCACGTCCTAGAGAGGACGGGCAGGCAGCCAGCACCCCGCCGCCCCCCGAGACCCGCACGCTTACCCACACGTGACTGCTCAGACATACAGGACACCGCACAAGCATCAGGCTGCTGCTGGCTGGCCTTCCCATGGGCAGCGTAGATCCAGGCCGAGGGTCCTTGAGCACCGCGACTTCGCATGACCAGAGCGCCCCTACAGGTCCATTCCTGGGCTCTGGCAGGAGCCACCACGCCCGTCTCACCTAGGGACACGCAGCCTGGGCCTGGCGTCCTGCAGCCCTGCAGTACCCTTTGGTTGTGTGCCTGGCCGGGCGTCCCCTGAGAGAGTCCCAGAGCTGAGGCCCCACCCACGAGGCAGCACCGAGGTCCCAGTGAGCACACAACAGGCAAAGCGGGGAGCGCGCAGGGGCCTGTCCTCCCCTTGTGCTGCAGTAGGGGCAGGCTGCCAGCCCACATGGCATTCCTCCACAGGGAGGGCACGTCCCGCTGGTGCCAGGGCTGAAGGTCCAGAGGACGCAATCGGTCCTTGCATGCGCAGGACCTTGGGCACTGGGGACGGGCACTGTTTAGGGTATGGCGTGGAACTCTGCTCTCCCAAGAGCTCTGTCCCTCAAGAGCCACTCTTGGGAAGGTCACAAACCAAAACACCTCTGGGGAACAGGGCAAAAAACTTCTTCAAAACTAGAGAAAAAGTGACAGCTGAAGACAGAAGTAGCTGGGGTGTGGAACCCAAGAAGGGAGCCACAGAAACGAGGAGATACCTTCCAGCTCCGAGCACCACCCCAGTGGGCCCGGGTCCATGGGGAAAGCCTCGTCATCCAGTTCACCTGAACCTCCCTGTGGGGGTGGGGGGGTGTCTGCACAGTGTGCAGAGCCCAGCTGCCCAGCCGGCACCCAGGGCGCCTACCCTGGGGACATCCCAGAAGGTTTTAAACCAACTCTGCCACCCTGGGCCTCCCAGCCAGATGGTCATGTGCCATCCTTCACTGTCAGTTCAGCACAGAACGTCAACATGTCCCCATGTCACTTAAACACCACGATAAGGTATCATCTACACTTTCTCCTATTTTCCTGAGATACAAAACTAGCTTAAACTACTAGTCCAAGTGAAGACCGGTGAGACCCCAGGCTGCGCAGTACAGCCCCTGTTCTCACAGGCCATCGAGCACAGTTTCACCAGGCTAGAAAAGGGAAAGACTGCATGTGACAGAGGAAAATACCATTTCAATGAGGCAGACAAAGGAAACAGAATACCAAGTGCCTCTGACACACAAACGAGTGAGCAGGAAATCAGGACAATCACCCTGTGGTCAGCCTGCATGCCTGCTCTGTCCAGGTGCCCAGCATTTCAATGTTTCAGTAATAGTAATTTTATATATCCACTTTTTAAAATTCACTGTCACTTAGCTTTCCAATACTGTGACAAAATCCCTGACAACAGTTTAAAAGAAGGAAAGGTTTATTTTGGCTCACAGTTTCAGGGATTTCAGTCCAGTTATCTGTTGTTTCTGGGCCTTTCTGAGGCAGAATGTCATGGTGGGGAGCACTTGATGGAGCAAAGAGAGAGGAAGGGCTGGGGACAGGTTGTCCCCTTCAAGGACACGTCCTCACAACCCTCCCTCCAACTGAGCCTACCTCCTAAACTTCCTCACCTCCCGAGCCCCACAGATGAAGAACCATCAATGGATTCCTCAAGAGGAGATCAGAGTCCTCGGGATTCAGTCACCTGGCAAAGGCTGACCTGGGGACACAGCCCTTGAC